TCTTGACACTATCTTCAACAGTTGCTTAATAATATACCTCAGTTCTCTCAAACTTTGGTATGTACTTTCTTATTACCTCTCAAAGACAATTTTGTCAAGAGAAAGAAGTACAAGGAACCAGAAGTGGGGTTGGAAATCTGTGATTGGGACCCTCTGCTTCTTTGTGTCTCTGGGTTCCAACTCTGCTTCCTGGAGCAGCCTGGCTTGTAGCTCTCTCCACATCTGCGGTTTCCCTCCCTAACACAGCTCTTTGCCCACAGTGTCCTCTCCAACACGACATGCATACTCAGTTTTTTCAAGTGCACACAAACCACCTTGTACAAATTCGTTAAACTACCAGTCTCGCATTACCCAATTCAGCTAGACACAGATTCACACATTGGACAGACCATTGGTCATTACCAATCCCCTTTTCCTCGTTTATTATCCTCCTTCTACCTTGGACTTCATGCTATGGCCAGAGTTATTTTTCTTAGCGCCCTTGAGTCATGTGTATATACTCATAATCTAAAACATTTTTGTATTGTTTTATAAAACAACTGTGTGAGGTAGATATATTTATTATTGTCATTATTTTACAGATGAGAAAATTGAATTCTAGCCAATAAGCAACATCTCTCTTTTTTAGGAGGAGTTTTGGTTTAAAAAAATGTTTTAAGCCCGATATTATTATTAAGATACAATTAGGACCAGCATCTAAAATCTTAACTTTAAATCGCTATGTTATTTCCCAAATATTCCTTGCAGCTTCTATGTATCCTTCTCCATTACAAATCAAAACTACTCTTTTCAAGATTGCCCAAGCGTCTTGATTCCTATGTATTTTGTGCCTGAATTACCTTGAAGTAAACCCTCCCTCTGCTGGCCAATTTTCAGGACAAAACTGGAAACTTTTGACTTCTCTTTCCTCACTCTCTCAGCTTCTCTGAAAATTCCAAACTCCTTCACCTCTCAGAGTTGATATAGGTGGCAGAGAACAAAAGTCTGCTCTGAGTCTTACTATATCCTGGGGGGCACACATTAGAAAAAATAAAATAAAATAAAATAAAATAAAATAACCACCGCTTAGAAATAATCATTTTTTACATTTGGTGACAAACATATTTAAAACCTAGTTACATTTCGATTATTAAATTCTTCCCAATCTATGGATAATTTGAGAGATATTTCCCCAAAGGCTGCTACATCAGAGATTTGACATAACATGAAAATTGTATATGGAAATGATCGTCTATATGTGAAAAGAAAGTGAGGAGAGTTGAAGAAAACAGAATCAAAGAGAAACAGTAGCTATCCCCTTGCTTTTAAATGCCAAGTGTTTGAAAGCTTGAGTTTATAATCTGAAGAACTATGAGTAACAGAATCTAATATGGGAAGAAATCCAACTTGGCCATTGAACTAACAACAACAACAACAAACAAACAAACAAAAACCTGATCCTGACCCCTTCAGCCAGGCTCACTTGTGTTCACAGTGTTAACCCAGAATTGCTACTCATTCATTCATCTATTCCAGGCAGGTGATACCAGGTAAAGGCAACCACTCCTATTTCACATCTCCCTTGACACAACAGAAAGAATGACACATACCTTCACCAGTAGATGAGCTCCTGCTTTGAAATGAGTTTCTCTCTGTCTGTGAAATTGGTCTGACAGTACTACCGTAAAGGCTCTGGGGTTCTTCCTCACTCTTTTAAATGAAGGGTGAAGGATAGGTATGCTCAGCACCGCATCCCTCCAGCCTCTTGGCTTTGGGCATTATAAAAGACAAAAGAAAAAAGGAACTAGGAAGAGGGTGTTAGAAGGAGATTCAAACTGTACTCTTAAAAGAAAACTTTAATCTTGTCCCAGGAATGTAGTTTAGCATATATAATTGAACCATATATAATTTAACATTTAGAGCTACCTAAAAGGATTCCTTTTACCAAGAGATCATTTCATGCATAAACTGAAACATGTGGGTATATTTGATATATATTATTGATATCACATGTTTATTAAAGAGAACATTCTATTAGAAAGTAATCCTTGAATGGTTCCTATAAACTTTAATTTACATAATTACCTAGAAAAGTTTTTTGGAACTTTTTTTGCTTATTTTTTTACCACTATTTGGTCATTCTTTTGGGGTGCTAATTTCCTTCTGCTTTGTAGCCTCTTTTCCTTTCTTCTACCAGTCAACTTCAGAGACTTCCATAGTCTTATTACCATAATCACACTTCAATTTCTGGTCCTGTCCATCTCCTCCTGACGATCTCATTTGCTAACTCTCTTCCCTGAACATGGTTAGATTTGAATGTGGAACTTCATTGGGTGAATGACCATTAGCTCCTGAAATTTTGTGCCTAGGAAAAAGAAGACGTTTTTATCCACTTGCTCATTTTTAATAACGAGGTACCATATTATTCTGGAAAGGTAAAAAGATGTCAGTAAATATGTGGCTTGTCTTTCATGCCTCAGAACATAAAATCAATTCATTCCGAAGAACCTAGTCATTGAGATCTTTGACTGCAGTATAAATATTTATTTATTTTTATCATGTATGTTTTCTATTAGTGAAGAGGCAGAAAGCTATACCTCTCCCTCTTGTGGTTCGTGTTAGTGTCTGCCTTTTGCATGTCCAATTTCTTTCAGTTTCAATCAATGCTGCTAAAATAATCTTCCTAAACCACAACTCTGATATCACTTTCCTGCTCAAACTTTCAGTGATTATCACCTGCAGGACAAAATCTCAACTCTTTGGTATGGTCCATCTGAAATTCCTATGCTAAACTCTCGGCTTTTTGAAAGCCTATGCATTTTTCAAGGCCTAAATTGCTCTTTCTCAATCCCCCAGATATCTGGCAGTAGTCTCCCTATTTTGTGCTCTAAAACCACAAGCTTCCAGTGATTATAGGCATTTGTGCTCATTTTATCTCTCAGACTCTATTGTGAATAACTGGAGAGTAGGAAAGGACAATGTCTTTTTTATCTTTCTGTTGTCCACATAGTTATTTGCACAGCAAAGGCACTCAACAAATGTCTATAGAATTGAATAAAATAGATACAATGGTTAGTAACATTAAAAGTCAGCATCGGGCTTTAAAAACAGAACACATTTAAAAATGAATCAAGAAAGAGAATTGTATAGACCAGCATTGTCCAGTAGAAATATAATGCAAGCTACTATAAATTTTCTAGTAGCCAGATTATAAAAGGAAACAAATGAAATTAATTTTAATAACATTTTTATTTAACCCAATTATTTCAACATGTCATACATAAAAAAATTACTAAGAAATGTTTTACTTTTTTTTCCATACTAAGTGTTTTAAATCTAAGTGTCCAGGATGTACTTATAAGACATCTCAGTTCAAATTTGCCACATTAAAAGAGCATTATAGCCATATGTGGTTACTAGGTACTGTATTAAAAAGAAGTTGAGCCCAGAGTTGGAACCAAGTCCTAGACCTCACTGATTACTGAGTAGTTTTGTTACCATGGACAAGACCTTTAACAGCTTATTTTCTTGATTTCCTCATCTGAAAAGAGGAGACGCACTTTTCTTACTGTCAACGAAAGTTCCCAGTCTGAGGTGCAGAAAAGGAGAGGCTTTATTTAGGCGAACAGCTGACAAACCAGTGAAACAGCCTCGGTAGAAACCAAAAGTGCTCTACTGAGAATAAGGGGAGGCCACCTTTGACAAAGTTCCCACCTTGGTTCCCAATTGGTCCATTTTATGCAAATAAAGAATCCAAATAGTGCAGTTCTGATTGGTCCAAATGACACTGTCCTGGTTGGTTAAAATTGTGCGTTTTGATTGATCATCATAGAGCAGCTCTGATTGGTTTGTATAGATAGATGCAAATGAGGATATAGTTGTGTAGTTCCAATGGGAAGGGCCAAGTCTTAGTCCATTGATGGAAATAGGATACCAAGAACTCCCTTATAAGGGTTGACTCAGGTGGCAGGAGCACAGTGCAGGAGGCTGTCAGATCAGTTTGTGGCTTTTCCCTGAATTGTACAGTGTGTGAGAGGCCTCTGTCAGATGCTAGGCTCTGGTTATGAATTTGGGCCCATTACCAGAAGGAGGCCTTCTTGGCAGATATAGTTGCTGGGGTTCACATTACTAATCTTACAGGGTAATAAAAACATAAAATTAGAAATTGAACTGAGAACACTAAGTTGAAAATGTTATACTAATGGAAGGCACTAGTTCCTGCAGTGCTTCTTAGCACATTGTGACTTTAGTAACTGTTGCAGATCCTTACTAGTGGCTGAAATACTAAGGATTACAATTTATAGCACTCCAGCAGAGATAGAATTCCTATATTAGCAAGCCCAATTAAACTGGCTTGCTTTGAAATGGTTATTAAGGAAGAAGCGGGGCACCAATCACAAGCATTTTGAGCTCCACAGGATTGGGAAATGATGCAGGGATAATTGACCTGACCATTTTCTATTTACGTAGTGTTCGCCTGCCACTGAGGTGCTTATGTGACAGTAGAGAGATAAAAATACGTTTCCCATCGCTATGTTCTCCAGAGGGCTCTGGGATGATCATTTATTTTAACATTTTACGTGTTCTTTTTAGGAGATTCTCTGCAAAGCTACAAACGCTTCAGTTATTGCTTATTCACCTGCCAAGATCTGCGCTATCATTCTCACTGCCCTAAGAAATAGTTAAGGAGAAATATTTAAATTATAATTTCAGCTTTAGATATGCAAAGGCAGGTGAAAGGTTGAAACAAAGTTGAACGTGAGAAACTATTACCTTTCTTGCGTATTGTGACTTGCCATACATTCTGTCAGCCTAGGCTTAGGAAGGTGCCTATTAAAACTTTGCTCCAGTCCAAGATCCCTTTGCCCTTGCCACCATATGGTCTACGGTCCCTATCTCTGTTCCAGAAGGTTTCAGAAGTCTTACTGGTTGCTCACCGTTGTTGCCTAAGAGACCAAGCCCTTCCCTAACAACAGTTGCTAAGGGGCGGAGACTTCGACTGCGTGCCAAGACTAGTCTAGGGTCGAGTATTTAGGGCGCATGCACAACCTTCTGTTAGCTCTCGCGAGGTTTCGTCTTCCCGGAAGCAGTGGAGCATTTTTCCAGTTACCGACGTCGCAATGTGTGGGGACTGTGTGGAGAAGGAATATCCCAACCGGGTGAGCGAGTGAGCGTCGAGAACTTCTTGCTCCCTTGGCCTGTGGCTGGCCCTTGAGGCCTCTAGTGCCCCCGGCCTGCCTTCCTTGTGAGGCCGGGCCCAGGGCGGACTCAGCGGTTCTACCTAATACAAAAATGACCCGGTAGCTGTATTTAGGCGCTGGACAGCGGGGGCGGCCTGTAGCAGTCTGTTGCCTCTGGGCCCCGCCCTTGTGGCTGACATCAGCCGTCACCCCACTTCTCTTTAGCACCAGGGGACAACAAAGGTCGCTGCATGGGACCTTTGAGGTCATCTGTTCTAACCCAATTTTGCAAATGAAGAAACCAATGCCCAGAAAGGAGAAATCGCTTGCCCAAGTTTACATTGTAGTAGTATGAGAGCCAAGACTAGAATTTAGGTTTCCTGGCTGTTATTTTCTTTTAAATCTCTGTTCCTCTCAAGCTCAGGAGGTTGCGAAGCTTGTTTACTCTTATGCATTCAAGTTATGCTTATTGAACATTTATATGTGTGTAGCTGGGTTACTTTCAAGGCCAGAAAGAAATACCAAAGAAACAATAAAAGGCAGGTTCCATGCTGCCTAAGATCTGACATTTTAGTGGAGTATGTGATTAACCAGAAATGAGTAGTAGAGGCCACAAATGATATTCAGGTTTAGAGAAAGGGCAGAGCAATAGGGTATAGCTCTGTTCCCCCAAAAGAAAGTGGGAATTCAGTTGAGACTTGAAGGTTAGTTGTGACGAGGGTAGAAAAGAATGAAAGGAAGAGCTGAAGGTTGAGGGGAAATAACAAGAACAAAGATTCCTGTATTGGGTGGGAGGTAGGAAATCTCTACAGTTGTTTCTGTCTCAATAGTTTGAATAATACTTAGTGTTTTAGGAAGGATATATAACAACATTAAAAAACTCATATGGTACAACCTCTTTGAAAAGAGATTTAGCATTATCAAATAAGGTTAAAGGTGATTACATACTGAATGACCCAGCAATTCCCATTCTAGAGAAATAAACCTATGTACATATATTCCTGGAGATGTATGAGCATGTTCATACCAACATTGTTTGTACTAGTAGACTGGAAAAGTATAATTGAGTCATAGAATGGGATACCATGGGTGAATGAGTAATGAAAGTGAATGAACTGGAGCAGTGATTATGAATTAGGAGCAGTTTTACCTCACAAGGGGACATTGGGCAATATCTGGAAACATTTTTGATTGTCTCATTTGGGGGTACTACCGATACCTAATAGGTAGAGGCATTATGCTTACATTTATGTTTCACATACTTTTCTGTATTGTGTTCTATTTTACACATTTTTTTTAAAGTTTAAAAAGAGACTTTCATGAATTCGGTAATGAATGCTGCACATTATAAGGACCATGAGGGAGATGTTTACAGTGGAGAGTGTTAAAGAAATTAGGCTGGATTCTTGAGAGTTGAGCTAATCAAAATACTTAAAAAATATATTGAGAAATTTAGATTTTATACTTTAGGCATTGGGCAACTGTCAAGCAAAATTGTATAAGGAAATTCTAAAATCTGTTTCTTAGGAAAATGAATCTTACGGCTGTATGTTGAAATGCTGGGATTGGGGAAGTGCAAAAGGAGAGCCCCACAGAGCATTTGGGGAGCCATGGCAACAGTAGTGTATGCATGAGACAATGAAGACCTCATTTCAAAGAAAGGATTAACAGGACTCAAACCAGTTTAATGTAGGAGGAAAGAAGGAGAGAGCTATAGATGATCTCAAGGTTTTTTGTCTAGCCCACTGGGGAAATTTACCAAAGTTGGGGGTCAAATGTTCAGGTTATTTCTATCATATTTCATTTGAGGTTGAGAATGTAACATCCAAGGAGTCAAATGAAAACATAACATTGCAGTTTGGGTGTGAGATTCAAACAGATGAGTCAACCAAATAAAGGTGTCAAATAGAAAGAATTTGTTTTCTAAAGAATATAGAGAATCAAGCAGAAGCAAGGACTGAGCTTCAAAGAATAAATTAAGAAGTGAAAATAAAGTATAGGTAGAAGAGTGGAGAAAAAGATTGAGGTGATTGGAAAACCAGGATAGTACCTTTCGTAAGCACTTTTCTCCAATTTTATTATGTTCTAAAATAATTAAAGGGCTGTCATGAGGAAGAATTAAACTTTTCTGTGCAGATTTAGAAATAATTGGTGGGTGGGTGTTATGGGCTTTGAATCAGAATAAAGAACTAACAGATTTTCACAGATGGAATAGATAATCTTTAAAAGAATTGAACTCTTCCCGTTGTTTAGTAGAGACTAACTGACTATTTGAAACCTCAAGGATCCTTCCAACTCTGGGGTTTTTTAAAGTCGTGAGATATTTTTAAGGGCAGTAAGAGCAGAAGGCACTTTGCTTGAACTTAGCAAAGGAAAGGGTAATAAGATGGTGGTAGCAAGTATAGTCCACTCATTCAAAAAATGCACTGGATTAGCATGTTGGGAAGCTCTAAGTGCAGAATGAGTAGGTAATAAATATTTATCTTTGGTTTCATAAAATTTTCTGGAGTTTTGTGGTAGATATTTTTCATAGATTAGAAATACATAGTAATGAATTCCTAACATCTCTGGCCTACTTGCTTGTAATATTACACTGAGAACTTGAACTCAAGCATGAATCAAATTGGAAATTAACCATATTAATTTTCTGAACCCAAATTTTCTCAATCGTGAACCAAAAAATTTTTTTTCTTTCAGGAAAGCATTTAGCAAACCAATTAGAACTAGAAATCTACTGCATTTTCTAAAATTACTGATTAGGCACAAAATTGTAATAAAATATTTTCCACATTCAACTGGAAATGAAACCCATATTTCATATATTTCAAGTCTCAGCTTTAAACTTTTTAGTAACATAGCAGCAATAGAGAAATACATCATTACTTTAGATCAATCAGAGGGAAATGATCAGCACGAATTAGTGATATCTTTAAATTAGAAATTACATGTATATATACATCACTTAGAACTTAGCTACCAAAGTTCAGGTATTCAAATTGATGCTTAACATTAAATCATACTTAATTAAATGCTGAGTCTGATACAGAATTAGTAAAACAATTGTTTGTAAATGAATGCTTTAAAAATAATGCTCTGCATTTTTAAACACCTGTATTAAATGAACAGTCTTGAATCAATAACTTAATCTTCCACTAAATATTGGAAAAACAAGAGCAAACTAAACCCAAAGCAGGCAGAAGAAAGGAAATAGTAAAATTTATTTATAAATTAATGAAATAGAAAATAGAAAAACAGTAGAGGAAATCAGGAAAACTAAAACTTGGTTCTTTAAAAACTATATTCTCCATTTTTAATTTTAAACATTTCCTGATGAAACATATACTATTAAGTTGTACCATCTGAAATAGTAGTTTTGTGAAAAAAGCAAATTGAATTGGTTCAATCCTTATCAAAATGGTTACAGCTTTCTCAAATTTATAAGATTTTATTATAATATACTGTCATACCATCATAGTATTCAACCGTTTCTTTTTGCACGCTTGTAGACCTTTGTAGATCCTCAACCAGGTCTTATCTCATTACATTTTCTAAGAGTATTTAATGTTTGACATTTTTTTCCTGTCTTCTTGAAACTGTTATAGCTTCTATTATGACTGTGGAATTTATTTAGATTTCATTCTTTTTTTCTCCTATATGGGAGCCTCAAAAGCTTCCCTGAACATCGTGTGCTTTAATTTGCTTTCTCAAATTTGGTTGTTAATAATCTCACCTCATCTAATAAAAGAGCCACATCTCACTGATGAAAGTTTATAGAAACAGAACCCTTATAGAAAGCCCCATCAGTTTCTTATATACTGAACTGGAATTTTGCCATTTTAAGTATTAATTTCCTTACCTCACAACAGATACATAGATCTCTTCTCACGGTGTTACCTTAGAGTTTACATTCTGCCTACTTATAAGGAAAGATTACAGAGGTTAGGCCACATTGTATAAGGTGCCTGTGCTTATGGGTACGGTCTTGTTCAGAGTTCTGTTTACTTGAAATTGATATTTAGAGCCTTATTCTCTTAAGGCTGTTTCTCATTCCTTAATTTCTTGGAACTCTTGGCACTCAGCTTTTATAGATTCAAGGCAGTTCCAATTCAAACCCCAGCAGGCTTTTTTGTAAAAGCTTCTAAGTGGATTCTAAAATTTGTATGTAAATAAAAAGAACCTTAGACTAGCCAAGTTATAGTACTACCTGTTTTAAAGACTTACTATAAAGCTACAATAGTCAAGAGAGTATGATATTAGTGCAAAGATAGACATTAATAAAGGGAACAAATTAGTCAAAAGTAGACCCACGTATATATGGTCATTTGAGTTTTCCACAAAGGTGCCAATGTAATTCAATGTGGAAAGGATAGTCTTTTTAATAAATGTTGCTGGAACAACTGAATACTTATGTGAAAATAAATGAAACTTGATCTTTCATATCATGTACAAAAATTATTTCAAAATAGATCACAAACCTAAACCAACAAGCTAAAACTTTAAAATTTCTAGAAGAAAACAGGGGAAAAACCTTTGTAACCTTGGGATAATCAAAGATGTCTTAGAAGATAAGCACAAATAATGAAAGAAAAAATATTTGATAAATTGGACTTCATAAAAATCAAAACTGCTCTTGAAAAGACGTATAAAATGACAAACCAATGACAGGGAGGAAATATTTGTAATACATATATCTGACATAGGATTTATATCTAAGATATATAAAGAACTCATAGCTCAATAATAACATTTCAATAAGAAGATAAACCTAACTTTTAAAAAATGGGCAAAAGACTTCAATAGACACTTTGCAAAAGAAGACGTATGAATAGGCACCATGAAAAAATGCTCATCTTTGTTAGTCATCAGAGAAATGCAAGTTGAAACTACAATAAGATACCATATTACATCATTAGAATGGTTAAAGGAAAAGAAACCTAGTATTGAAGATGTGGAGCAACTGGAACTCACATTGCTGGTGGGAATAGAAAATGGAAAACTTTGGAAAACCATATGGCAGTTTCTTATAAAGTTTATATATGCCATATTTTTACTGTATGACTCAACAATTCTACTTCTAGTAATTTACCCAAGAGAAAGAAGTGTGTCCACACAAGACTTATACATGAATATTCATCACCACTTTATTCATATTAGCCCTAAACTGAAAAGAACCCAAATTTCTTTCAATGGAGAAATCCATGCAGTGGATTAATATTTGACAATTAAAAGCAATGAACTACATGCAACAACACAGGTGATTAACATGAACGTTATATTGAGCAGAAGAAGCTGGATGCAAAAGAATATACTGTATATGATTGTGTTTATATAAAATTTTAGAATAGGCAAAACTAATCGCTAGAGAAAAAAATCAGATCAGTGGGTGGGTACCTGAGGTGAGAGAGGAGTTAGAGATAGATTGCAAAGCATGAAGGAACTTCCTGAGAAGATAGAAATTTTTATATCTTGATTTGGGTAGCGTTTACATTGGCATATATGTTTAATAAAAGTCATTTCCTATACCCTTAAAATATGTGGATTTTATAGTATGTAAATTATCCCACAGTAGAAGTTTTGTTGTTGTTTTTTTTTTTTAATCAAAGCAAAGCTTGTGTTCTTACTAGCTGGAAATTTATACTTTAATCCCAAGCCTTCTTTCCTCCCATTTAGTAGTTAAGTCAATGTATCTATGATTTTGTATCTTTAAACTATATAGTTAACTTGATTTCCCACCACCAGAATTAATCTCTTCCTTAATACATGGCTCCTTTGAGGAACCACTAAGAAGGGAGTGGTTAATTGTGCTGGGAATCCAGGAAGGCTTCACTGTGACATCACTTCAGGTGGGTATTCATTCCCCTGATACTTTATAAGCGCCTTGAAGGCAGAAACATGACTCATCTTCAGATTTTCCACTGTACTTTGCACAGTATGAGGCACATAGCTGTGTTGGAGAAATGCTGATTTGGATGGTTTTTATTTACACTGTTAAAAATACTCTAAGTTTGTTGTTCAGAAGTGAGATTGAAGTAGATTGTTTATGAAGTGACTTTTAGTTCTGAAGAATTATTAGTAAGCCTTTAGCAAAGACCTCCCTTGAGCCAGGACCGTAAGTTGCTGACAGTTTCTTAGTGATGAAGCAACACCCTTTCTATTCTTAATGCCACAGTGTCTGATGAATTGCAGAGCTTACCTTCTCTGCCCAAATCACACATATCCTTAAGGACTGACATCTATAGAGCTGAGGGTTTATTTTTGTTTATTTTGTGGTATTTTTAAGGCTTCAGAAAAACACTATTTTAACAGTCAACTGAGCATTACATCATATAAGATCATTTTTATCATTGGCTTAGTGTTTCCATTTTGACTGAATTTTAACTCTACTTTTATAGTATGATACCTTATTATATATTATTGGCCATTTGGTTTATCTAATTTTTCCTTTTCATATTTTATTAAAGCTTTATTAAATTGTTTCTAAATATCTATATGCATTTAGTCCTCTCTCTCATACACAGTTGGAGTCCTCAGAGACTTACAGGTCTACGAATGCTTCACTTTTATTTACCACGAATAACACTTCTTGAGGAAATCTAGTAATTTCAAAAGTTACTTGGTATAGCCTTCAAGCAAATTCTGGCCATGTTTTTTGCCTTTAGAGATTTTAAGTCTCTAATAATCATTTTCACCAAGGATTTCGAAAGAAAAGAAAATTAAATTTCTATTTTAATA